AGGTTGGCTACACGGGCTCCCTTCGCTCGGCTCACCTCTGTTCTTCACTTCAAGTCATGCTGGGTTGCATCATGATGGGTTGTCATGCAAGCGGGACTCTGTACACATGCATTGCAGCGCACGCGAGGAAGTCCACACACCCGTGACTAGTGCACACCAAGTCAGCAACCCCGAAATCCCGGAAGTTGCTGGGAAGTTGTGGGTAGCCCGCCAGGCCCACTGGAGCCCCCACAGGGATCAGGTTTCATGCACTTCCCAGGCGCATTGCTGACGGCTCAAGGGAACGCCTTCGCGCAAACGCTGTATGGGTCAAATGGATGGTCACAGCCTTCGAAAAGCAAACACAAATCCACCAACGGCCTCTTTCTCTTGCTAATTACGCGGCAGTGGGCATCAAGCTGTTTCACATATTTCAAATGGTATCCCTCCTACCCGCCCCTCATCGACTTTGGTGCCGTTTTGGAAAACTGTTTTGACTATCGCACACTACCTATGCCTAAGTCGATCACTTGGCGTAACAGTACTTTCCTATTAGTCTGATGATCACAAATCTGCTAGTTTATTCCACGTTCAATGAAGTGCCGGTGACTGGCGGGGCATTGATTCAGGGGCTTTGGCTGATTCCTTGCTTATTGGAAACCGGCTTGAATTTTGAAGGTTGCTATGACTGCGGCAGTCATAGTGCGTGCAGTAATTCACAGGGCCACCGAACTTGCATGCAGGGTGCCCAAGCCAGCTAAACGATGCGTTGCAAGGCAACAGCAAAGGACTTGGTCGAGGATACCTTGTGCTGGCCGCGTGATGGCCAAATTTGACTAACTGGTGCGCTATGGCTGGAATAGGGCTGTGCTTGTAGGCAAACTCTGGCTGATGTGTGCTGATCCTGGAGGTAGCATGCTGGCAAGCATGATAACTGACTAGGGTGTATCATGCCATGTATATCATGGGTATATCATGCCAGGTTTGCTGTTCGCAGCACCCACTGTCCGTGCAGCAGTCCGCTTGACCTGTACACTCCAGTGTAGTAGTAACGGTAGTAGTGTGTATGTTCCGTGCAATCTGAAGATGGCCTGCGCATTCTGGGATGACACGAAAATATTTGCGGCGCAAGACAAGGCACGGTGAATCCGTGTCCCTGAGACTTCTGGGAACACACCCAAGTTAGTGTGTGGTTCATGAAATCTGTGGATTTTGCTGAAAACCTGGAGAAAAATTCATGTGGGGCACAATCTGTGGGTTTTGTTGAAACACATGAAGAGCATAGCGAATCCGTGTGGGGCGCTATCTGTGAGTTTCTCTGGAAAAATGAAGGGCACAGCGAATCCATGTGGGGCGCAATCTGTGGATTTCGTTTAAAAACATGAAGAGCACAGCGAATACATGCGGGGCGCAATCTGTGGGCGCAATCTGTGGATTTCGTTTAAAAGCATGAAGAGCACAGCGAATCCATGTGGGGCGCAATCTTCAAATCAAATCGACCGGGCAGGGCCGCTGGAACCGGTCCAGTTGGTCCGGTTGTCACCGGACCAACTCTGGCTGAGGTCACCCCCTGGCCCGGATTCGTCTAAAACCGGGCAGAAAACATTCTGGGTACATGATATGTACTGTATTATCGATCATGCATACATATGTACATGCACCCATAGTAGGCCATACATGTCATTGTGCGTTGATATTCATGCAAAATTATTCCCTGTAGTTGGCTCTGAAAACTTGTGAAAGGGCGAAATTTTGCTATTTCTGACTGGATTTTTCCAAAAATGCCCGGGGGAGGTCCCCTGGACCCCCTTAAACCGGATCAACTTAGCCTGCCTTCCAGCAGGCCTGCGGTCTATCTGGAAATTCCTAGATTGCACAACCCTGCACGAGTATGTTGGGAATCCTCAGCCTGATTGTGCTGCGCAATCTGCAGATAGCGTAAATTTACAGATTGTGTCAATTCCCAGATTGCAGGGAACATGTATACTGGACATGTGATTGCACTGTGATCATGTGACCATGCGTGCCTGCTACAATCAGCTTGATTGCAGACTCTGACCTTGCACCAAGTAGCTACTAGTATAGTTCCATTGACGCTGTATCGTGTGCTACAGTCAACTTCGCGAATAACGACATTCGGCGGGGCATCAGAAAAGTGTCCTTATTCGCGAAGTGTCCTTATAACCGAAGTCCCATTTGAATGTATGTGAACCCATATTTTGTATGGTATGACATGCATATCAAAATCAAGCTCTTTTCTTGCTCTATGTCAATGTGTACTTTATTTTCATATCGCAGTTGAAAGGAACTAAAAATTCAATATGCAAGGGAAATCAATTGAAAAATATGCCTTTTTGAGCCATCTACAGGGCCAGAGACATGTACATGTACACGTGTACATGTATGATGATTACTGTTGTACTATCGGCAGAAAGACTTTTCATGGCTCATTTTTGTTGTGGTCCTTTGGTTAATTTTGGTTTGTTTTGCGTTCTACTTTTGACCCTGTTGTCTGGGTTTTGGTTGCATGTATAGTTTGTACATGAACCTAGTAACAGTTACGTCATTGTCCTGAGTTATGTTTTGTTTGCGCATGCTCATATGCTGCCATAATGTTAGTCTTTTTCTTCAGTTATCAGTTTACCTCGTCGTGTCCGGTCTTCTTGTCTGTCCGTCTCCGTCTTGTCAAGAAATTATGTAGAACTCTTAGTTCAGTTTCGTTGTTGTGTGTGGCGGGTCGGATGGGCAGGGAGGCTGGGCCCCTGACGCCTGGACAACATGTGCGGGTGCACAAAAATTACTGTACAATCATGTACAACTACATGCATGTACATGTAGGTGTGTGTGTAAATCCAACACTTTTGAAGCAAAATAAAAAGGAAGAAAAAGCCCCCCCCCCTCCCTTGGCTGCATTTTCTTTTCTTTATCCATCACCATAGCTATGTTCTGGTACTTCTGCATGACAGGTACATGTACTTGACTGACAGGTACTTGAAATAGCTGTCAAAAGCCCAGAAAGTCGTTATTCAAGCAGTGAATATGACCTGGGGGCACTAAAAGCATGTCGCTATTCGCGAATTGTCGTTATTCAGATAGTCGTTATATCCGAAGTTAAATGCATGTAGTTAGATGGGACTTTGCTCCGGGCATGGAAATTCGGTCGTTATTCGCGAATTGTCGTTATATCCGCAGTCGTTATTAGCGAAGTTGACTGTACTTTCATTTTCATGTTGTGAATCACGGAGGCACATTATTGCTGCCGATGGCTAAAAAACGATATCTGAGTTAACCTTGGGCCATTCTAGACATGCATAGAGCAATACGGTGTCCTGGTGGGCAGGTCCTCACGTTGCATGCTTGTTCGACTCGTTTGTTTCTGTGCCAGACTGAGTGTGTGGCGGGCCAGGTGGGTCGAGTTCAGTCACTACCCGGGCAGATGGGGCACCCTGCTGTGAAGCAAACCGCTCCCAAACCATGTACAGAGTGTGAATTTGTCATGATGAAATTGGTTGCAAGTGGATCCAAAGTCAGCATTCCCCTAATTTTGGTGTGGTCGTGATGTGACACTTGCAAGCCCTATTTTTGCACCTGCCACCTTTGTTGATTTCAGGGGTCATGTTATCTACTTCGAAGTATCTATAAATTGAAAGTACACAATCATAACCGTTGACTAATAATCTGCTTTTGGCGCTTGCCTCAGATTCGCTTTTTATTTACCCGCCACCTCTAGTGTCAAGTATTGCCTTCACGGGGGACAGTGGATGCAGTTGAATTGTGGGGTGGATACATGGATGCCTTCAATCAAGAGTACATAACCCCCCAGTGGGGGGTTGGCCCAGAGTGTGCAACGCGTGATCCAGCTCTGCATAGGGTCTTGGTCAAGTGTAATCGGATCTTCTGATGCCATGCGTACACTCCACACCAGCGCAAGGCCAGTTTCGAGGCAGGGCACCGTTATTTTTGATCCGAGAGTCCCCGCAACTCCCCGGGTTCCCCTCAGATGTGTACGATACTATGACGCAAAGATCCGATTACGCTCGACCAAGACCCTATGCAGAGCTGGATCAGGTTTTCACGCTCTGGGGGGTTATGTACTCTTGCTTCGATCCTTTCTACTGGCTCCTGGACCATGGTCTCGCCGATTTAGTGCCATGTGGTTATCCCGTTAGGGGCCATCCGTAAATATAGATATTTATTTTTGTATTTGTATTTATATCATTATCTCATGGCACGTCATGATGACGGCCAGTAAAACTGAGACAAGGGTGAAAGCCAACCACAGCAGTAAAACAGATACAAGAATACAAATAAGAGGCAAAGAAGGCAAAGGAGGAGACAAACCAGCAGGATATACATGGAACCTATAATTGAGCAGAGATTTTAGCAACAAAATTATCCATCGACGTGCTGGTCTTGGCCTGCGTTGGTAATGTTGCCCAAAACACATAGCCAGCAAAGATCGGGGATCTAGTGAATAGGGTGGAGGCAGCGCGTGGGAGACTGAGTGAGTTCTTTTAGATTTAGAAACGAAAACTAGTCGTTTAGGGGGGAGGGGGTTTAGCGCCTGTTCGTTTCTCAAAAAATATCGATGTACATTTGGCATGCGTGAGCATGTCCAGAAAAAAGACCAAAAATATCGATACTATGTACCATGTGTATGTGTTCGTTTCTCAGGGAGGGGGTTGAAGAGAAACGACTAGTTTTCGTTTCTAAATAAATATCGGTATTTACGGAAGGCCCCTTAGTGGTATTGAGTACAAGTGCGTAATGTAAGATATGTGTGTTTTGTATGGGTATGTATGTGTGTGTGTCTTTGTCTGTGTGTGTGTGTGTGTGTGTGTGTGTGTGTGTGTATGTGTATTTGTGTGTGTGTATTTGTGTGTGTGTATTTGTGTATGTGTGTGTATGTGTGTGTGTGTGTATGTGTGTGTGTATGTGTGTGTGTATGTGTGTATGTATGTGTGTGTGCATTATTTTTCTGTTCACCTGCATACATGCATTGAAATCCGACCGACCGCCAGCTGATAACGCGAGCAGTACTAATTTTCCGCCCGCTAAGAGAAGGATCTGTGCAAGCCATATTCTGGATGGCAGGCAACGGGCTGAAGTTACCAATGATGAAAGTGCTGATGACATCAGTGTATCCAGATATGAAGAGAGAAGTCCCCCAGATGGAGAGCAGGAACTTATCTCCCCCGGTCTCGACAATGAGCAGGGTCGCATGAAATCGACGTTTCGACATCCACCAACAGTCACCGGCTACTTGAAGGAGTGGTATAGCAAACACGAAGAGGTGAGCATTGCCAACAGCCATCTACATAAGCCCACACTGGGCAACTCTAGCCCGAGCGTAAAATGGATGTACAGTCAACTTTGCGTATAACGACACTCGGCGGGTCATCAGAAAGGTGCCCTTATTCGCAAAGTGTCCTTCTACCCGAGGTCTCATTACCGTATTATCTCTAATATAAGCACAGTCTCTAATAATGGCACGTCTCCAATAATAGAACACCTTGGGGCGGCATTCAAAAAATAAAGTGCTCAGTCTCCATTATAAGCACACTGTGTAAATTCATTATCTATACCGGCGAAAAAACCCTGAAATGTGTGTGTGTCTGACATGAATTTGGCATGGCAACATGCCTCTGAAATGAGGTTGAAATAATAATGGAACAGTCTCCAATAAAGGAACGTCTCCATTAATAGCACGGGGCGGAGGTACATTGAAAAAATAAAGGACCGTGCTTATATTAGAGATAGTACGGGATATGTGTTACAGTTAGATGGGACTTTGCTCTGGGCATGGAAATTCTGTCGTTATTCGCGAAGTTGACTGTACCGTATTTTCGGAAATTACTAGCACCGGTCTTTTATTACCACCTGTCTGAAATATAAAAACTCGGATGTTGAGCCAATAGTAATATGGGGAAAGAGAAAAGGAGCTATGAGTTACTAGTTATGATTAACAGTCCACCACGGTAACGAGATAATATATTTCCGCACCTGAGCCTTCCAAGTTGGAAGGTTGTTGGTTTGAGCTTCGTAGACTGTGTGTGTTGGAGCTAGGTGTCAGGTCGTCGAATGTCTCAATATCCTTGTCAGTTTTGTGCCTTGTTGTCGCACTATCTGACTGTACATTATCTCGTTACCTTGGTGGACTGTTAGTCATAACTAGCAACTTGTAGGTCCTTTTCTTTTTCCATATTACTATTGGCTCAACATCCGAGTTTTTATTCCGCACACATCATGAGCCGTCACTAGCAATACAGCGAAACGTACGTCGTGTGAACCCACTTGTTATTGTACCAAACTTGTCCATCATCGTTACCTCAACATGGAGTTTAGTAGGATATTAGCTTTCGGTTCCTGACAGTTCGTCTTCGCTTGGCTTCCCCTCTTCATGTATTTTTACATACCTTGGAGTCTCCCAAGTTGGGTGGTCTGTTGCCTTGCGTTTTCCAGTTGTGACCGCTTTGTCCAATGTTCTTACTAGTCTCGTCATCATCGTCCCGTAACGTTCGACATTCTTTGTTGCCGAGGGACATAGCTCGTGCACATCTTCGTGACGCATTCCTTCCCCTCCTTGGAACTTTCCGCACCTGGGCCTTCCAAGTTGGAAGGTTGTTGGTTTACGCTTCGTAGATGTGTTGGAGCTAACGTTAGGTGTCAGGTCGTCGAATGTCTCAATACCCTTGTCAGTTTTGTGCCTTGTTGACGCACTATCTGACTGTATATTATCTCGTTACCTTGGTGGACGGTTAGGCATGACTAGTAACTTATAGGTCCTTTTCTCTTTCCATGTGGGAAATATGCGCCACATCATTTCAGGGCATTCTTTTGGAAGTTTTTTTTAAATTGGGTGAAATTGCAGAGCTCACAAACTACTAAGCGCCTCGGTCAGTGTTGCCGAAAGTACAATAGCTTTTAAGCGATGTTCGGTCTTTGGCTGCCTAAGTGAGCCTGATCAACTCACCGCCCACCAAATTTTGGAGCTGCGTCACACCTTGTGTTTATGTGCAATTGGCCATGGACTGGCCACCGCCTGGAACGTATTGAGTTAGCAGCTACAAATCTTAATCTTGTGAGCTACTTCTACACGTTTAAAATAATAAAGTTATGATCAGCTGGGTGGATTATGATCAGTGAGTTATAATCAGCTCATTGGACTCACTACCATCCAGTCAGGTCAACAAGGGCACGTATAATAAGTTTTTTTTCCTTTCAATCTGAGATCAATGGTACTTTCTGCCCGCATGCGACCACTGTCATATGCCTTGATCATAGCATGTAGTAAACTATAGTTTCAGCAGCATGTAACTTGGACTATTGGCATCTCCAACATTACAGTCGCAACTTTAGATACTAGTCTCATGCTCCAGAACAGCCAGGTTAAAGTAGCACAATAAGTTGCGATCTGTTGTATTATCAGAATATGCACACATGCTGACAGAGTGTGGCATAGGTTGGATGGTTTCGTTTTATTTTCTCTGACTCTCTCTCCCTCTGTTTGCTTTTCCCTGTTTTTTTTCTCTCTTCTGCCTTTCTCGCTCCTTCTCTATCATTGTGTGTATGTGCGTATGTGTGTGTCTCTCTCTCCCTCTCCCCTCCCCCCCCCCTCTCTCTCTCTCTCTCTCTCTCTCTCTCTTCATCTCTCTTTCTCACTCTCTTTTTAGCTTCTCTTTCTGTCTGCCCCTCTCTCCCTTTCTATTAATTTTCTCTTTCTCTCTCCCTTTTTATTGTTTTCTATCCCTCTCTCTCACAGAACCCATACCCTACTGCTCAGGAAAAGGAGATGCTTATTGCCAAATCGGAGAAGACGTTTGGCTTTACAATGACCAAACAGCAGCTTGATAACTGGTGAGCGACTTTTATCTTCCCACTTTTTCTCTTGCATTATTATTCACCAGTTGGCTAAGGTCTCCAGTCTCTCCGGAGGCGTGGGTTCGAATTCCACCGCTGCCACCATTGTAACCGTATACTCTCAGCACTCAAAGCACATACTTGTAGTTACGTAAGTAGTTATCATTCGTTCATTGTCTCACAAGGAGAAGAAGAAGACAAGGCAGTGCGAGTATGCGCACAGCTATCCATGCATTCCTACGGTGTACTATTTATGTGTATACAAATTACGTGTCATAAAGTAGCCATGCTACATACTCATGCCACCTGCTTATCAAAGACCAGCAAATTAGCGTAGGTTTTGATGCTAGTGATGTGCATACAAAAAGATTCAAAGCTCACAATCCTGGCTGACCATGAGTTTAAAAAAAACAATGATGTGAAATCCTAGCAGTCCAAAATGCGGCTCGGTCGGATGAGCCATTCAGTACGTCATCATGGGTGGTATATCATCCGAAATGCTTCATTGGCAAAGTTGCCACCATTGTGTGTATCACGGCACGATGCTGTCACCTGCGTTGCTGACCTGTACATTCATTATTTTTCTTTGATAGCTACTGGAGAAATTATCGCAATGAGTAGAGCAAGAGGCATACTGAGAGCAGCCGGGCACCATGACATTATTCTAGCGTGTTTATTCCTGAACGGTTTCAAGCGGTGTTCTCGCCAGAGTAATCATAGACACGTAAACAATAGCCTAGGAACGACAACCTGAAGTACTCAAAGAACTTTATTCCCGTAGCTATGCAGAAGACGTTACTTCAGTAACGTCTGGCGCTAGCCAGGGTCCACACATCTTTAAATTGGTGATTGTTTGTTTGTTTGTTTGTTTGTGTCACGCCTGGCGCTATCCCGTATCTGTCCCGTACCGTATCGCACCATCAAACACAGCTGGCCATTTGCTGGCTCCCGTATCTGTCCCGTACCGTACCGCACCATCAAACACAGCTGGCCACAAACAGCTGGCTACAATATTGGTCGTATTATGTACATGTATACGACTCCCTGTGTGTTGCAACTGTGCTTGAAGGGGACGGTTGCACTTTTTGTAGCTCCGTTTTATCTGAGTTTTCAGTCGTTCCTCTTACTAGTCTTGCCAAGGGGGTGGCTCTGGGTCCACCAGAGTCGCCCCTGGCGTGTTTCTGAATTTGCTGGGCGAGAGTTCCGCGACGCGGTCGCCAGGGCAGTGTCTTTTCAGTCACGACCGTTGTCGTCCTCGTCTCTCCATTGGCGGTGGTGTAGCTGACCCCCGAATGGTTTCAAACTGCGAAGCTCGGAGGAGTTCAGTGGTGGCAGAGGCATGAGCTGTGAGTGGAGACGGTTGCTGGAAATGGATGGTGATGCAGGGAGAAGAGTTACGCTGCCTGACGACGCGTGGGAAATTGTTTGAACCTGCAATTTCAGTTCGAGCGCGGTGGACTTCTAGACGATGTGTCCTCATGGCTGTTTTTCAACACTTGGCCTATCGCTGATATCCCTGCGTGGAATGTTCTTCCAGTGGAGTCCAGGTGGGACTTCGTGTGCACACACTCCATCACCTGGTTGATTGTTTCGGAACTGCAAAAATAATTATTGTTTCCTTTTTTGCGCGCATCTCTTGTCATCTCTCTTTTCTATACGTCGCACACCAGATGTACTACTATCGCTGTCTTTCTCTTGCTATCTCTCTCTGCTTGCTGTTTTTTTGTTTCTGTTGCCACTGTCCCTCATCATACCCATGCTTGGGTGGAGGGCGGCGTGACCCGTTAGGGTAGCTGTCAATACAGTACGACTCCCTGATGTATAGGGAGACTTTCTGGAAAGAAATAGGGAGACGAGGAGGAAATGAAATTAGAATGGACGTTAGTTGCCGAATAGGTGATAGTGTAGCATGGCTACTTTATGACACGTAATTTGTATACACATAAATAGTACACCGTAGGAATGCATGGATAGCAGTGCGCATACTCGCACTGCCTTGTCTTCTTCTTCTTCTCTTTGTGAGACAATGAACGAATGATAACTACTTAGGGCCCGGTCACACATGCACTCGAAAGTAGCGTATACGCTGAAGCGAGGTCGCAGGAGCGAAAAATGGCATGGCAACGGCGAAAAGCGGAACTTCCGCTTCAGCGGAAACTCCAATCCGCTTCCTCCAAATTTTTCGAAGCGAGACTGTCGCTTCTGCGGATTCGCTTCAGCGGAAAACACCACGGTCTGCTGGATATGGACTTGCTACGAGAAATGTGTATGCGTATGATGTCCATGCAACAAAAATGCGTGCAAGATAGTCATTGACCTCGTCTATTCTCCGTACCGTATGCACCACAGTCTCATTTTCCGCCAAAGTAGGAGTTGTGCCCTGTTTGTATGTGTGACCATACACACATGGTTTCGCTGGAGCGACACCAGGCTCGCTGCCGCCGAACCTCGTCGCCGAAGCGAATCCCAGTGCATGTGTGACCGGGCCCTAACGTAACTACAAGTATGTGCTTTGAGTGCTGAGAGTATACGAGTTACAATGGTGGCAGCGGAAAAATAGTCGTCGGTTTTGTCCTCGGCTGGGAAGACGCCTCCGCAGGAGAGACAAGTTGCAGAGTCGACAAGTTCCAGAGAGTCTGAGACCAGTTCCAGCTACTCGGGAGACCAGCCCACAGACTAAGTTCTAATTTACTGATCATTCTATCCTTCGTCTCGTTTTCCATTCTTTACTTCTTGACTGATCGTTCGCTGTGCATGAGTAGCAGTTTTGTTTGGTGTAGAAAGGGCTACATTTTCACAAAAATATTTTGCGCACGTGAGTGTGCGTGCATTGCTGCATACTTAGCAAGTACTCTGTTGACGTCATGTCCTGTGCACTTGTACGTCCGTGTGACGTAACCAGAATGTTCTGTGTACGTATACGTGTACGTACGTGTAGGTCAATTTTTTTTGTAACATTTTTCAAAAGTTTTTTTGAACTGCAAATGTTTTTTTTGTAGCTTGGGCCATTGATAGTGAGATATCGAGATGGGCAAGTCGAAAGGCAGAAAGAAGACCAGGTCCCCTCGACCTCGTCCGTTCAAGATACCGTCTGACGAACATGCCAGTGCATCAGAGTTGCACCAGTCTAATGACACCGGAGTGCGTGATCAACTAGCTCAGGCGCTCGAGAAACTTGATCGCAGGTTGACAGACCTCGAAAAGAGACTCAGCTGTTTGGAAATTGTTGCTCCACGAACACAGGTTCCTGCAGGAGCAAGTTTCGAATTTGATCAGCCTCATAGTAGTAGCAGTGGTCGTGGACATTCGTATGATCGTGGTCGTCAGGTGGAACCAACGATTTGTTTTGGTTGTGGGCAACCTGGCCATTTTGCTCTAGATTGCCCACACAACCCTTGGCGCTCGGGAAACTGAGTACGACTGGTGGTGTGGGACAACTCCCAGTCGTTCACGAGGAGCCATCAGATGCAGTACGTATCGAGGCTGTATCGTCTGTAGTCCCTACGCTAGATCTCCATGTTCAAGGCAAGTGTGTACTCTGGTTCCTGTGTTTCTATGTTGCATGAGCAAACATTTTTGTCCACGTATGGTGATGTGCCCTTGCAAGCTGCTCCCCGTTTGTGTGCGGCTAATGGTGAGGGACTCCAGGTTCTGGGTGCTGTGGATATTGAATGCTGCATTAAAGAGCGTTCATTCTTGCATACATTTGTAGTGTCTTCTGATATCCGCCGTGATATGATATTGGGATCTGATTTCTTGTTTGACCATGGAGCATTATTGAACATTGCTCAAGGCACACTAACTTTTAATGATCTGTCAGTCCTGCTAGGCGTGAAAGCTACTAGTGTTGGTCCATCAGAGCCCAGTCCGGTTGTTGCGGCGGACGCTGAACCACTATCTGACTCTTGGAGTAATGATAGTAATTCTGAGGAAGACCCGGGCACGTACTATTCCCGTGTCACTGTTTGTAGTAAATTAACTCTGCCTGCCGGCCATGTCGTGCTGGTCCCGTGCAAGTCGGTGCAAGAGGCATCTGTGACTGTGGATTGTGTTGCTGTTCCACTGGACTCATTCTTGTTCAAGTTTCCACATGTGTCTGTGACCCCCAGTGTGGTTACGGTTGGACCTGGCAGGTCCGGTGCGGTAGTTGTGTTGGAGAATCACTCTGACTACCCAGTACAAATTGCTAAAGATGTTGATATTGCAGAATTATCTCCTGTACCCGATAACTTGATTGGAGAGGATGATGATCCTGCTGATTCATCTGTTGCGGATATGCAACCGTTTGTGCTATCCCCTGAACGTGCCGAGATAATCCGTACGTATGTTGAGTCTCGGAATAATCTGGCAGTACCTAAAAAGAACAGACTTACAGAGCTTCTCCGTGAGAATCATGACTTGTTTCTCTTGCATAGTAGTCGTACTGGTGATATACAGCCAGTTAAGCAGCCTACGCGCGCTTTGCAAGCTTTGCCGGATGATCTGTTGTCCCGTGGTATACTCACCGAGTCCATTAGACCCTGGGCGTCGCCCATAATTCTCGTTCCCATGAAGGACGGATCTCTCCGGTTATGTATCGACTACCGCAAGTTGAACAGCATTGCGGAGCCAGATGCGTATCCTATCCCACGTGTTGATGACATATTGGACTCACTCTCTGGCTGTTCATGGTTCACTTGCCTGGATTTAGCGTCAGGATATTGGCAGGTTTCTACAGTCTGTTTCAAAAAGATTAGCAATCAAGTTTGGGTCTTAAAAAGTATGAAGATAAGGGAAATTTGGACAAAAAAAGTACATAAAACGGTTTGTTAGGGCACGGCAAATTGTTCTGTGAAGGTTTCGGAACAATTGGACAAACCGTTAAGGAGTTAGTATTTCGGCCAGGTTTCTGGCCTTTTCCCATGGTTTATAATTTGCCCTGGAAGCCAGTATCGATTTGTTATCAAAACCCACGATTTATCCCTTCCTTTTTAGCCTTGTGGTTATGAATGCTGTCT